TTATAGAATTTTTATAGAACCACTCTGTGCAGCTTAGATGATCTTTTTTGTTAATGCTTTTTTTTTTCACCTATATTATTTAGATCACTTTTATGGCACCTTTGAATGGTGTACAAGATCCATTGTTTCTACGACTCCAATATAATGATATCTTAATTTACCTATAAGAAATGTAGATTACACAGTATATCGTAGCTGCGTGAATCCTATAACAAAAAACTCCTTTTTTTTACACGCAAATATAGATAAAACCATCCGTAATTGCTCTGCCATAATCAAGTCATAGAAATTGATCAATCAACGAAGTTGCAGCCGTATTTGCATGCTTTACCAGGCTATAGTAGTCAGAATGTCGCACTGAAATCACCATATACGACATTAATCTCAAAAATTTCGTCACTCAAAAATTGTCGTGCTAAATACCAAAATTGGTGGTTGAATTCATCTTTGCTGAACTTAGACAAGGATAAGTTACCCAGTAATTGACTTACTAACGGACGATTTAATTAAATTATACGGTATCATTACATTATATTAAGAGATCTAAAATCTGTTAGGAAGTAATAAATTTAATTATAAATTCAATTGATTAATTTTATTAAACAAGTCAAAAATCGATAAATTGTTTTTGTCATTCTAATATATATAGATCAAATTTCAGAACGCCTATAAATCAAATTGTTCAGATTGACGTATATTGGCGATTAAATTGAGTAAACAACTTGTTGGCTATTAGGAATACAGCAACTGAATTAAATTCTGGCATTCTAGCATTGATTTTCCATTCCTTTTTGTTTTGTTAATTGTTTTGTTATACATATTTATAATTGGGTCATTTTCATCTAATTCGAACGAAGGGGTATCCATTCATTACTGATACACGCACCATTTAAGTACAATTATTTTTTATATCATATTACTTCATAAGATTCATAAAATATGGATTTAGACACTGATGTTCCAATGGAGGACGTTAGCAATGACCAACAATTGAACCAAAGATTCGATGAATCTACGTCTGGCCCGGGCCAGCAACAATCAAAGCCATCTAACAGCAAAGATTTGAACACATCGTCCATTAATCAATTAGATCAATGGATTGAAAAACTATCTGCGTGCGAGCCATTATCAGAGGGGGATGTAAAAAACTTGTGCGATATGGCCATGGATGTTTTACAGTTTGAAGAGAATGTGCAACCGGTCCAAGTCCCGGTAACTATATGTGGGGATGTTCACGGGCAATTTCACGATTTGATGGAGTTGTTTAAGATCGGGGGTCCATGCCCAGACACGAACTACTTATTCATGGGTGATTATGTTGATAGAGGATACTATTCGGTGGAAACTGTTTCATACTTAGTTTGTATGAAGGTGAGGTACCCTAATAGAATTACTATATTGAGAGGTAACCATGAGTCCAGACAGATCACACAAGTGTACGGATTCTATGATGAATGTCTAAGAAAATACGGTTCTGCGACCGTTTGGAAATTGTTCACCGACTTATTCGACTATTTCCCTATTACTGCATTGGTTGATAATAAAGTATTCTGCTTGCACGGAGGGTTATCACCAATGATCGAAACAATCGATCAAGTAAGAGAATTGAATAGAATCCAGGAAGTTCCACATGAAGGTCCTATGTGTGACTTGTTATGGTCTGATCCTGACGATAGAGGTGGATGGGGGATTTCTCCAAGAGGTGCAGGATTCACTTTTGGTCAAGATATTTCGGAACAATTCAACCACACTAATGACTTGAGTTTAATCGCAAGAGCTCACCAGTTGGTAATGGAAGGTTACTCATGGTCCCATCAAGAGTCTGTGGTGACCATCTTCTCCGCACCAAACTATTGTTATAGATGTGGTAACCAGGCAGCCATTATGGAAGTGGATGAACAGCATAACAGACAATTCTTACAATATGATCCTTCAGTCAGACCAGGCGAACCAACGGTGACAAGAAAAACTCCCGACTATTTCTTATGATTTATTGTTCTTTTGTGTATTTTTTAATGCTTTTGTTCTATGACTGATTAATTAATGACGAATTGTTGTTTTTCTTTGCTTTCATTTTCTTCTGGCCATCTTTTTTTTACTATTATACTATCATTATTTAAAATTTCCTTGTTATTGTATACATTTAGTACTTATTGCAGGCTCATTAAAAGCTTTTTAACGTTTCTTTTTTTTTTTACATTTGCCTACATTTATAGTTATCAATCATATCGCTGTTCTTCTGGGACCGCTGTTTTATGAAATATCTCACCTTATTTGTAGTATAACCATCCTGGTACCGTCCTTGTCTCTTACTGTTAAATTTGATGTAAAATAGTGTATTTACCAAAAACATATTTTAACCAACCAGAGCTTTTAATTTTCAAATATAATCAATATGAGATTTGATGATATAGTAAGTAGAATATTTCTTCAGTCAGTTAACATTAATAGATATATATTCAACTGAATAGTAGATATATCTATTGAGAATCGAAATATTAAATACAAATAATGTTGAGAGTTTCCGCTAGACAAATAAACCCAGTGGGTAGACAAACAAGATCTATTTACACTTCCGTTTTAGACTCAGACATTAATATTACAAGAAATGGGAAAGTTAATGTTTCGGTGGGTCATGGTGGACGTTCATCTAGAACTGGATACACTGCTACTGTTTTCGGTGCTTCTGGGTTTTTAGGTCGTTATTTGACCTCCAAATTGGCCAGACACGGTACCACTACTATTGTTCCATTCAGAGATGATATGAAAAAGAGATTTTTAAAGGTTACTGGGGATTTAGGGGTTGTTAACTTCGTTGAGATTGATGCCAGAAACTTGAAGTCTATTCAAGATTCCGTTGCTCATTCTGATATTGTCTTCAATTGTATCGGGGTCGACTACAACACCAAGAACTTTTCAATGGCAGATGTTAACATTGGGTTAACCGAAAGAATCACACAAGCGGTCAAAGATGCTGGTGTTCCAAGATTTGTTCATGTATCGTCGTATAATGCTAACCCAGACTCAAACTCGGTCTTCTACGCAACTAAGGGTGTTGGTGAGCAAGTTGTCCGTGATATCTTACCAGAGTCTACAATTGTTAGACCTGCTCCAATGTTTGGTCGTGAAGACAACTTATTAAACTATTTAGGACCAAAGTTGAAAATGTGGACTCCAAATAAGAACGCTAAAGAAATTTACCCAATCCATGTTATGGATGTCGCCAGAGGTTTAGAAAAGATCGGTTTTGATGACTCCACTCTTGGCCAAACTTATGAATTATACGGTCCTGAAAAATTCTCCTACCACGAAATCAGACAAATGATTCACGGTATCACTCAAAATTTTGCTCAAGCTGGTCCTTTACCTTACAGTTTTGCTGATTACCAAATCCCATTACCACTTGCTAAATTAGTCGCTGAACTTAAGCAATTGGTGTACTGGAAATTAACAAACGCAGATCAAATCGAAAGACATTTAATCAACCAAACTATTGACCCGACTGCTAAGACTTTCAAAGATTTAGAAATTGAAGATTTAGACCAATTGGCTAATGTGTTGTTCACATACGTCAAGCACTGGAGACATCCATTGATTGCCCAAAAGGGTGCTCCATCAGCTAAAGAATTACGTCAAATTCAACATTTCTCGTAGACCCATGTTCAACTCACATTTGTTCCCTCTAATTTTTGGTTACGCTAATATAGAGCAGTACACCAATCCCTATATATTATATATTATATATTGCATATCTTCAATTTTTGTTAGTTTCTTAATATAAATTACGTTTGAAAAAATAATCAGTCGTTGAATAAATTATTGACCGGAAAAGTCCGTACTGATAAGAGAAATCTCCCCAGGACCTTAGGGCGTGTTTTACTTCGACACTTATTTTTCTTTTCAGATCTATACCTAGCAATTAGCCAATACCTGATGAGTTATAGATTGCCACCTGCAATCCAGTTGTCTGCTGCTCCGCGTCCCCAACTTATAGAAGCTCTTAAGCATTTATTCGAGCCATGTCCGACATTGTCTTCATTACTTATTTCCAAAGTATTTAGTGGGGGACTTACATATTCAGATTACCCAGAGATGATTGAAAGATGTAGAGAAGAATTGATACAGTATCTCGATTCGGCTGAACTGGAGGCTTATGGTTCGGGTACTGCTGTAAATCCAGATATTTCCAAGATTATCGCAGCTCACCCACGTTTAGGTCAATCTGCACCAAATAAGACAGAAAAGTTGTCTGCACATTCATCTCAAGAACAAAGATCTTTACAGGGTTCTGAAGAAGAATCTCGTAAGCTTAATGAGCTCAATGAGCAATATGAAGCTACATTTCCCGGGTTAAGGTACGTTGTGTTCGTGAATGGGAGACCAAGATCTGTCATAATGCAAAACATGATCGACAGAATTAATAGAAACGAAATCTCCCAAGAAAGAAGGGATGCTTTTAATGCTATGTGTGATATTGCTTTAGATAGAGCAAAGAAATTGAATTCCGTGTAGTAGTAAGACACTAAATACAATTACCTTTTTCCCGTCACTACATATAATTGCCTGAAATTCTTCGAATTTCTTCTAGCCTATATTATTAATTACACTTCACAAGACAGATAAGGCCACACAGAGCCTGATAACTGTATATAGTTCTGTAGATATATGGGAATACATTCTTGAATTTGACAGAATCGGTATACATATTCATTTTATGATTTTGACACGACCTTCCTTGCACTCGTCCATTACAATCAATCCTACTCTGATAAAGAAAGCCTGGACTTAATATTCTACATCAGATAAAGCTCAACGTATTTTCTGTATATTATAGATCATCAGAATGGTATGTGCAAATTATGAGGAAATTGATATCAATTGCAGAACTGAATTGATATCAATTATGGCAAAACAAATTGAATAAGGGGATGCAATTTATCTTGAGATGGGATTTACTAACCAATGATTAGGCTGGTGCTTTAGAAAATGCTCGTAAGGAGATGAATCGTCTTTCTTTGGATGCTGGAGAATCGCAGTATGGTCAAATCTACTCGGTCTCAGGTCCAGTTATCATTGCTGAAAATATGATTGGATGTGCCATGTACGAATTAGTGAAAGTTGGACACGAAAACTTAGTAGGAGAAGTCATTCGTATTGCAGGAGATAAGGCCACTATTCAAGTTTATGAAGAAACGGCTGGTGTTACTGTCGGTGACCCTGTTATGAGAACTGGTAAACCATTATCTGTCGAATTAGGTCCAGGTATGATGGAAACCATTTACGATGGTATTCAAAGACCATTGAAAGCAATTAAAGAAAAATCACAATCTATTTATATCCCAAGAGGTATCGATGCTCCATCATTGTCTAGAACTGCTCAATACGATTTCACCCCTGGTCAATTGAAAGTTGGTGACCATATAACTGGTGGTGATATTTTCGGGTCCGTCTTCGAGAACTCATTATTAGATGACCATAAGATTTTATTGCCTCCAAGAGCAAGAGGTACCATTACTTCGATCGCAGAAAAAGGTTCTTACACTGTTGAGGACCCTGTATTAGAACTTGAGTTCGATGGTAAAAAGCATTCTTACTCGATGATGCATACTTGGCCTGTCAGAGTTCCAAGACCTGTTGCTGAAAAATTAGCCGCAAACCATCCTTTATTGACTGGTCAAAGAGTATTGGATTCCTTATTTCCTTGTGTTCAAGGTGGTACCACTTGTATTCCTGGTGCCTTCGGTTGTGGTAAAACCGTCATTTCACAAGCCATTTCAAAGTTTTCTAACTCTGATCTCATGGTCTATATCGGATGTTTTGCAAAGGGAACTGAGGTTTTAATGGCCGATGGTTCTAATAAAAATATTGAAGATGTCCAAATTGGTGAAAGCGTCCTTGGTAAAGATGGTGAAGCTAGAAATGTAGTTGCATTGCCTCGTGGTAATGAAACCATGTACGAAATTAATGAATCAACTCCTGAAGAAGAAGCTGATCTTGCTAGAATTGCTTTCACTTGTAATGCAAAACATGAGTTAGTTGTCAACACTAAGCAAGATATTGCAGTTAAACAAAATTGTGTTACCTATTTTGCTCTTGAATCTGTTACAGATGAAGCTAACGGTCGTGAATTCTCTATGGTTAAGTCCCAAACTAGAACCTTTGAAGAAAGTTCAATGGCAAAGGAATTTGCAAGCACAATTTCAAAGAACTCTATTGATTGGACTATTGAAGCTCGTGATGTTGGCCATATGAGCGACAATGTTCGTTGTGCTACTCAGCAATCATGGGCACCAGTACTTACCAGCAAAGAAGTATTGGCTCCTGCCGTTCAAGAAGCAGGCTTCGATGCTACTATTGCTCCTTACGTTTCTTACTTACTCGGTATCTGGATTGGTAATGGTTACCCTGATCGTGTCCAATACTTGATCGATGGAAAGAATACGGAACTTGTTAATCGCATCCGCGAATACGATGAAGCCATTGAAAATAATAACCAAACTTCAACTAAGACTGTTGACTTTTTATGGAATGCTATTAACTCTATGGGTTTTAAAGTAGAAGGAAAATCTGGAAAATCAGTTCCATCATTCCTCCGTACAGAATCCTTTGAAGTCCGAGAACAATTCCTTGCTGGTCTTATTGACTCTGACGGGATTGTAACGAAGAACCCTCTTTCTGCTTCCGTGAGGACCAACTCTTCAAAGGTGGGAGAAGGGGTTATTGCCGTATCTCGTTCACTTGGTATTTGCACTTCAGTGAAGGCTGGAAATGAGAGCTATATTATTGGTATGACTGGAAATTCTGCCTTGGAATCAGTCCTTAGCAAGTGTGCTCTTGCTGACAAAAACACTTCATTCCCAAATCATATTACCCGTACTGGTCAAAATTTCGACTTTTCAGTAAAGGAAATCGAAGCCGCTGATTACTATGGTGTCACTCTTCCAGATAATTCGGATCATCAATTTATGTTAGCCAACCAAGCTGTGGTACACAATTGTGGTGAAAGAGGTAACGAAATGGCTGAAGTATTAATGGAATTCCCAGAGTTATACACTGAAATTAATGGTCGTCAAGAACCAATTATGAAACGTACAACTTTAGTAGCCAATACCTCTAATATGCCTGTCGCGGCCAGAGAAGCATCGATTTACACTGGTATCACGTTAGCAGAATACTTCAGAGATCAAGGTAAGCATGTGTCTATGATTGCTGATTCGTCGTCTCGTTGGGCAGAAGCTTTGAGAGAACTTTCTGGTAGATTAGGTGAAATGCCTGCTGATCAAGGTTTCCCAGCATACTTAGGTGCTAAATTGGCTTCCTTCTATGAACGTGCAGGTAAAGCAGTTGCTTTAGGTTCCCCTGACAGAATTGGTTCTGTTTCGATTGTTGCAGCTGTTTCTCCAGCTGGTGGTGATTTCTCTGATCCTGTTACCACCTCTACCTTGGGTATTACCCAAGTTTTCTGGGGTTTGGATAAGAAATTAGCCCAAAGAAAGCATTTCCCATCTGTTAACACATCTATTTCTTATTCCAAATATACTAACATTTTGGATAAGTACTACGAATCTAATTATCCAGAATTCCCTACTTTAAGAAACAAGATTAAGGAAATTTTATCAAATGCTGAAGAATTAGAACAGGTCGTCCAATTAGTCGGTAAATCTGCTTTGTCTGACTCTGATAAGATTACTTTAGATGTTGCTAACTTGATCAAGGAAGATTTCTTGCAACAAAACGGTTACTCTACGTACGATCAATTCTGTCCTATCTGGAAGACATTTGATATGATGAGAGCTTTTACATCTTATCACGATGAAGCACAAAAGGCGGTTGCCAATGGTGCTCAATGGGGTAAATTATCTGAGACAACTTCAGATGTGAAGCATGCCGTTTCGTCATCCAAGTTCGTTGAACCTTCCGAGGGTGAAGAAAAGGGTAAGAAGGCATTTAGTGAATTATTGGCCAACATTTCTGAAAAATTTGCTGAAGCCTCAGAATAAGTTCTTTGTTTTAATTCTGTACCCTTTTTTTTTATTTCTAGATGACTCTCTACATTTGTCACTATTAGATGACTATCTATTTTTGTTCTATATTTGTTTTGGTATAGCTAAATGTTTTTATTCATTGTTTTCGTTTAAATATATGCTATTTTATTATTCTTGCATAAATGAAGAGGTTACCTTGATATTTTATACTTTGGCATGAATTATTAAATTTCATACACACTATGTTTTACATTTTTAATGTGATAGATATATTTCATTGTCATATATCCCGAAGAAATTGTTAATTCTTGTAGGATCACTCGTTTGTAGAAAGATTTATGTTGGATTAAAGCACATTTTACCCGTTGAAGAGCATGCGTTCCAGAAACTTTGGAAACAGTCAGACAAAAAGTTATCAAGCCCATTGAGTAAATCACGTATATCCTCATCCATTGAATCTACGATGGTATTACTGCCCTGTTCTGTTTTATGGCTTGAAAACCAATCTTTTGTTTCAAAGTTTAAATCATAATCATTGAAAGGTAGTGCTTTCGGTGTATAAGATGACCCATCTATTGGAGTCAATTCATGCTGAGTACTTGAGTGACGTAAAAATTTTGTAACGTGAGAGCATTCGCCTGGTTTAAATGGTTTGGGTATAATAGAATTGGAACTATTAATCTTAAATTCTATTTTCTTAAGACGCTCAGAAATTTCTGGTAATTGGGGTCCGAGAGTGTCCGTTATGGGCTCATCCCGCTCTTTATTCGCCTTACTGTGATTAATGATCTGTTTTTGATTCTCAAGATCAGAAACTGCAGTCTTTCCGTTAAACCAAGCTTTCAATGTAATAAACGGATTGTATGGATTGATTTTCGCAGCCTTGGTTTCTAGTTCAAAGGTTTCTTGTTGGTAGGGATGTTTACCATCCATAGTGTCGTCAACGTTGAACTGAGAGTGCCCAGGCCTCCATCTAGCCATTCTTTCTTCCATGTAGTCTTGAAAATAGTCTGTTCTGGTTAGACTTGCATTATTGTGACTAAAGAGATTATTTCGTTTTAAAATATTTCTTTGATTATTCTCTATTTGAAGAGCAAAGGGGGGATGATGGGGACTTGTTATGGTGGCTTGGATGTCGCTGTACAGGACAGGGCTTTCTTCTGCTAATTCACTAGTAACTTCGGACTCAATTTCAAAAAAGCTACTAGGTTCTGAATTATGTAGCTTAATTGGCCCCTGGGGCTTACTATTAGAAGAAAAGCTTGATGCAAATTCTCTACTCGATGTTAACCTACCGAGAGACCTAGCCGTTCTCATGGGAGAGACACTTCTGGAACATCCAATTCCCTTCTTTCCGATGTTTTCGTTATTAAAGTTTCTTGCATTTCTGCCTAAATATGAACTGCTTGGTAGGCTGCGAACTACTCTGTCACTGTCAGAATTTTTCCCCAAAATTGTAAGAGATTTTATTCCTTCAACCGTGTTCCCAACGGAATGAGCTTGTTCACTATTTGAATTATTACAATTATTAAGATATGACTCTGTTACGTTTCTCTTTTTATATTCATTTACAGATTTTCCAAAATTTTCACAATTACGTTCAAACTGTGCATGCTTGGTGTAAACCAGATCCAGTTGTAATACATTTGAACTAGACTTATTTATGGAATACTGTTTTCTAATAAACACACTCTCGTTGAGACTGTTTCGTGCCATTCCTAGTGGATATCTCGTAGCTGGTGCAGATTGTGGATACCGTGGATGTTGATGTCGCAAACCACTATATTCAATCCTTTTTTTCGCCATTGCTTCGAGTCTACCGTATCCCTCGTCGTTGATGTCTTGTATAGCACCTGTAAACATACTAAATTACTGTACGTATATGACGTATTTGCCAATCGAATAAGTGCCATTAAATTTGTGTTGCAGCCATTTATTTGCGTCGCAAGCACCCGAGAGGCTCACCGACCGTTTCTGCCTTCCGGTCACTAAAATTGCCACCACTTCCAATTGGTCCGCAAATCCTCTATAGAACGCCAAAAATCTACATTTCAAACTACATGCTATCTTTATTGCCTAAGGCATATATTGATTCATATACGGACACTCCAATTAAACAAAATTGCAATTGGTGCGGTTACTAAGAACTAGAATTTAAACCAAGACTAACAACAAAAATACCGGCACCCTCAATGGCAACCATTGCCAATTCAACATAGATCACACCATAAATTCAGACTAACTATTTAACCATTCTTTATTACGTTTTCAAACATCAAACCTACTGGAAACTTTCTTGCCATCAATTAGACCAACATTTCCGTTATACTGTTAATCCTCATCCGCTTATTTGGATCTAGCTCTAACCTTCCGTCTCTTTCTCTTAAGTCTTCTAACTCTCTTTTTTCTCCACTTATCTCTCATTGTTAATGATAATTAGTGTATGTAGTAGAAGAACAAATACTATTAACTTAGACGTCTTTTGCAAAATTTATATAATACCAACTACTCGCACAACGTCCAACTTGCTCACTAAATGACTTTGAAATATCACACGACCTGAATTTTGACGGCTCTTAGCGATGTGACTGTGGAAAGATCATGTGAAAAGAAATAGGGCATCCGAAAGTAGGTTGCATGGTGCATGACATGAGCCACTTGCTGTGTTTCCCTGAATAGCCAATTAGCAACACCATTCATATAACTATGATGGGGCCAGGCATGTAGACGCATATCTTGATCCTGCGGATTATGGGCGGATATCCAGTTTGGCATCTGGATTTTCATACCTATAACAATTCCCTTCATGATTAAGGATCATGTGTTCGTTGTCTCCATCACCACATGTTTTACTGTCCTCAAAGAACACTGCATCTAATAGTGTCTCCAGGCCCTATCAGCTTTAACATTCTGAAGCGTTGTCTCCTAAGCGCAGAATTAGGTATTACTGGGTCAGAGTGTGGCCCTATACCATTACATCTATTGGTATCACATGTTAATTCTTCCACTTGCGTATTATTTGAATATGCACCATATACCACTAATGTAGTATTGTGCCTACCTAGACATCTACCATAATCATCAAACACAATATCTTTATCGAATTCGCCTACTGGTAAAACGACTAGTGATCCTGTCAGCTTTACACCCAATTGGTACGTAACATTCAGCGTGTCCAAGCAATCCTTTAAATTATTAAAAGCCTTCCAGTAGTCACTTAATTCGTTCGCATACACCATTAGTAAATGTATACTTGAAATAGCAAATATCCTGAGAAACAACATTCCATTTATTATTTTCATATGGCTGCAACCTTAAGATCTTTTTGGACGGAGTGAAACTTGTATTCGGTAGTTTAGTAAAGACTTCAAATGCAATTGAGAATTTTCACGGAGAGCATCAGGTACAACCAATGCAATGATGGCCAGGGAGGGGGGGGGGGGAAGAGTTAGTATTTTGCAGATAGGAACAAAACGTTTTTGGTGTTCAATAGTTAATACTGTGGCTTAATTGGGTCCAGTATTTGGGGATATGAAAGTGTCAATGTTAGACTTGGAAATGTGAGTAGATATCTTTCCTTGGGGTGTATTTGATCGTATTATGGGCTATTTTGGAATATAGCCGATAGTTGAAGTATGTGATAATAAAGAAACAGCCATCAAAATAGATAGGGCACACTGGAAAAGGCAGAATATAGAATAGATGTTCAAGGAGGAACACAAACCTACAGAGAAGATGAAACGGAACTTAGGAACTTCGAATAAATAGCGAATCTATAGAAACATATTTACAGTTGCTGTTTGTCTTCAGCTTTCTTCAACCGATGTGACTCTTGTCTCAAGGCCTTGAGGAGATCATCTTTTAGGTGTGGCAAATCGAAATTTCGGCAGAGGCCGTCGATGATGTCTGGGGTAATAATGATTTTTTCGTCGGAGAGAAGGTTGTGGTCGCTAAGTGACATATTTGACAGATAAACTGCATCCAAGTGATCAACATGCTCGAATGCAATGTGCTTGGTGTCATTGACGGTCGATTGAATAGCCCTTTTTTCTGCGGATGCACTTGCAGGTACAGACGAGTTGTGGGTGCAATCTTCCAACAAATAATCCAAGTGCTTAACTCCTAGCAAAGCCTTAACATTGCAGTAAAGTCTGTAAGTAATATAGAAACCTGGAACATTAGGAACGATTGGAACTAAGGCAAACGGCAAACTAATAGGGATACCAATAGCACATAGTATGGAGTATTTGAGGTGTGTTTTGTAAGCATCGTCTCGGAACAGATATAGTTGATTCAAGATCGTCGTAGGTGACTGGAACTTCGGATGATACAATGGGATAGGTTTAATCTGACTAGAGGGTATTTTTAACTCGTCTGCTTGCGATTGCATGAATCGGGTAGAAGAATGCGTAGCCTGCTTGGCGTAATCGTCGTTGACCTCTCTGATCATCCATTTCTGCGATGGAAAAGACTTCAAACAATTTTCTTCGTACGGAATCGTATCTAACAACTTATTGATCAACTTGACAATTCTGACATTAATGCTAATCTCTGAATCGTTCAACTTTTTCCACCCTTTGCTCGCTACAGACGTAATCTTCCCTTCGAGCTTGGTCACCCACAGAATCGACTTTGCCTGAGTCACATCCAACACCGAAGGCTGGTGGTTGCAGAATATATACGATTTGTAGTTCGTGATGGGAATGGAAAGGACATATATCGAATCATTATCTATTGGGGTGGCGGCCTTGGCCAGGCTTGATTGACACCTGCCAATAAAGAGTGCGGACCTTACTTCACCAATTCTTAATCGTCCAGCCTGACGTTTTAAAACACTCGAGACAAGCATCGTATTCTTCGATACTCCTATAGTACTGATCATTGTTGACGTACTATACTTCTATATTACAGCTAAATCTACAAAAATAATGCTTTTGATCTTCTGATAATTGATGTTCCAACATGTCGCAATATTGCTCAACGTGACCGACATATCAATGACGTTAGCATTGCCCAATTTCACTTAATGGTCTACAAGATGCTGGTAATACGATCTGCCGGCCGCATTTTGGTTGTTCGTAGAGACTAAACATCACCAAGGAGCCACTTCCAAACAAAAACTGACCCGTAAGCCGTTAGAGAATATTTATGTCCTCATCGCTGAAAAATTTCAGAGCCTCCCCTCCTTTTTTTTTTATCCCAGAAAACAATATTCTATCTAGCTAGAGAACGTAAGCAAACAGAAGCATGGGCACAGAGTATACCCAATTGAAGATACAGTCAATTGGACTATATTATTGTAAAATCTCCAGTGTTCCTTATCATCGGTAGAACTAATTATATACAGGACCATACTTTTGTTCCATAAAGAGTATTTGTTTGTGTTTCCCATTAATAGGCATTGCTATAAACTAAGAAACTAAACGAATAGAGCATTTTTTTAACAGCTAGACTAATTAGAAGCATATTATAGTAGTAGATGTCAGAACTTGATGGAGAACAGAATCAGGGGGTACCAAGCTCAGGAAATAACCGAGTATTGAGTTCAGGAAATAGTTTGACCGAATCTAGACAGTCGTTCACCAAAGCACCAACTCATGTATTTGACAACACCAGGGTTAAATCATACAGTCATAAAGCAAATATAATACCTCCATATGTGTTGGATACGCTATCGCAGGCACATTACAAGGACCAATTAAACAATACGAATGTAAATAGCAATCAGCCGGACACCAATCCATCACTCAAGACGTCTCATTCGAAAATTGATGATGAAGAACAGTATTTGAGTTTCTCCAACGACCCATTTGTGAAATCGATGAATAATAACTGGCACAATCTTTTGCGGTCGGTGGAGCAGCGACCAGCGTATGCTCCGGGGAGAATGAAGTTGGACGACGATTTCAACGCCGATTGGAAGTTGGATGGTCCATGGGGAGGAGAGGATAGACTAAAGACGGCATTGTTGGGTCAATCTTCCGCAGAAGAAGACACATATGTTGCAGACGATATGGGGTGTTTTGGGTGTTTCGGAAAAAATAAAGACGTTTCAAAAGCACTAGACCACGATCATCCTAAGGTGAGGTCGAAGGCCGGATACTGGATGTCGGACGAAAAGAGGAAAGACGTGGTTCCAATATTAAAGAGGATATTCGTCCAAAACCCTCTTGTACCGCTTCTTTTGAGGATATTGATCATATGTTTCTCTGCATGTGCCTTGGCTCTTGCATGCTCGATTTTCGTCCTTTCCAGACATAAGTACGATGGAAGTACCGTAGAACAACAACCCAGTACCATAATGGCCATAGTGGTTCAATGCTGTGCCATTGTATATCTTATCTATATTTCCTACGATGAATACAGTGGGAAGCCTCTAGGGTTAAGAAACCCGTTGGGCAAAATGAAGCTTATTATGCTTGATCTATTATTCATCATATTTTCTTCCGCAAACCTTTCCTTAACATTTAATACCCTCTACGATGGTGAATGGGTTTGCCAGAATGACGATACACCTGAGTTGAAATCTCTTGGTATTTTTACACCTATAGTGAGTTCCATATGTCGAAGACAGAGGGCTTTAGCAGCCTTTTTATTTTTGGTGCTATGCTTATGGGTATTGACTTTTACAATAAGTATAATTAGGGTTGTCGATAGAGTTAGCGTGTCACCCAGAAACGATTGATTTGTACCTTTTATAGTAATTTAATACACTAGATTTACTACATTTGTTAGTTATAATAGCTAAATCGAATAGGTTGCGTGTAGTGACCAAAAGTTGATTTTCTCACGGCTACTACTTCAGTAGAACATTTGGTGTAACATGGATATAAATCAGATCTATATAGTTACTATAGAATTAATAAGGATTACATTTGAACTTCAACCCAATTGAGTTTCTCGGAGAGTTAGCTTGAAAAGAAACGTTGAAAATCGATAGGAATCAATTGTCAGAAGTGTAGGTTTAAAAGATGTCTCAATCGTTCCCAGTGGCTAGCGATTTGAACGCTACTTGGTCATTTATTCAACCAGGGTTAGAATTTATCTTAGGAGCTCAAGGTGATCAAGGGGTGACTTCGAAGATGTATATGAACTGTTATACAGCTATTTATAATTATTGTGTCAATAAATCACGCCATGGATCTGCCAACACACCTGTGAGTGCTGTGTCGGGAAATAATTCGTATTCGCTAGCAGGAGCAGAGATCTACGCTAAATTGGATGAATACCTAGTGCAGTTTATTACGAGCTTGAAAAAGGATCCTCAGGAATCGTTCTTGGAGTTTTATGTTAAGAGGTGGACAAGATTTACCATAGGGGCAGGTTACATGAATAATGTGTTTGATTATATGAACCGTTATTGGGTCCAAAAGGAAAGATCAGACGGTAGAAGAGATGTTTTTGATGTCAATACGTTGTCGTTGTTGAAATGGAAGAGTCATTTGTTTAATAATAATGCGGATAGATTGATCGACGAGGTGTTAGATCAGATCGAGAAGCAGAGAAATAATGAAATTGTTGATACGAATTACATCTCAACGGCTATTAAGTCATTAGTATACTTGGGTATTGACATTCAGGACTTGAAAAAGCCTAATTTAGTGGTATACATCAAACATTTTGAACATAAATTCTTACAGAAAACTGCTGAATATTACAGCAAAGAAAGTGCCAAGTTTCTTTCACAACATAACGTGGTTGATTACATGAAAAAATGTGACACAAGATTGTCTGAAGAAGTTTCCAGATCTAATAACTATTTAGACAACCATACTAAAAAGTTCTTATTGGAAACCCTTAATACTGTTTTAATCAAGGATCATGCTCAGGCGATGTATGATCAGTTTTTAAGGTTATTAGAGCAAGATGAAATCGACCATATTCAGATTATGTATAAATTATTAGCTCGTGTTCCATCAACATTACAACCATTAGCAGATACTTTAGAGAAATACATTAAAGATGAAGCCTCAAAGGCAATAGAAGAAATTAAGAACCCATCCGAAGATATAGAAGATCCACCCAAACAGTCTGCAGACGGCAAACCTTCAAAGAGAACTACTGCTAGTCTTGTTAGTCCAAAAGCTTATATTCATACATTAATCAGTATTTATATTAAGTTTAATGATATTGTTACCGTTGCTATTAATAAGGATCCAATATTCATCAAGTCTTTGGATAATGCATGTCGCCACTTTGTCAACAAAAATTCGATTGCCATTCCAACCCCTAAATCCAATTGTAAGACTCCTGACTTATTGGCTAGATATGCCGATGGATTCTTAAAAGCTACTAGTAGAGA